ATTTAACGTAAATTTTTCATTTAAAATGGGGACTCCTTGAATACGGTGATTTTGATTTATGATGATGTTCCGCTTGATATATGTATTTTTAACAGCCTTCAATCTCTTGTGCTTTTCCTGGGAAAAAGTCCAAGGTGCTCTTAACTATCACCCACCAGGCAGTCAATAGACAAACAGCAATAATGTACACAGATACCAATACACTTCACTCAACCAAAGTCATCTGAAGTTACAGCGAAGTGCAAACAACAGTTCAAGTGTTAAAGGAGAGAAACCAGAATTAAACACTGATCATTACTTTCCTTGTTTCTTATCTACAGAAGCTATTTCTTGAAACATGATTCAAGGAAAAAAATAATAGAGAGATTGGAAAATATATGGCTTCAGTAGGGATGAACTGATATCTGCCCTGATGGCTAACAATAGCTTTTCTTATCGTTTCAATGGGAGCACGAGGTAACCAAATACACAGCATCTTCCCACCTTTCACTGCTATGACTATGTGTACAGTCGTCCCTCATTTATAGCGGTTAATCCATTCCAGACTCTAGCGGTTGCACCTGGCGTTGAAGGATTCCTGGGGGGCTCGAATACATAGGCCTACAGTCCATACGTACAGCAATTTTCATTTGAATTGTAATACAGGGGTGTATAATTGACTCAGACAACCGAGTGTGCGCTGTATCATTGTCATTGTCTCAATCAATTTTTAATGAATATATTTGAAAAAATTGTGATAGAATGAAGCCACGAAAGTCGAAGCACAAAGTGGCGAGGGACGACCGTGCTCATTTCCATACAAGACTTAGTTCTCTCGTGTGCCTAAACTATCAGCCCTGGTGACACTTTAGGCCAGTGCTTCTCACACTCCGGCATGTGTCCCAGCACCTGCAGAGATGGTGAAAGGAGAGTCCACTCCACTGCCAGGTGTGGAGAGGGATCAAAGGTGCTAGCAAACCCCAAACGCCACTGCACCTGCTGACCCAGCACCACACCTCAGCAGTGCTGGTTCAGAACAAACCCTGATTTCTGTGCTCCCATGTTCCCAAAGGGGTGAACTGAGAGTGTAGAAGACATTTACGTACTTTTCTCAATACTTTAAATAATTTCTGAAAGTACCAATCTAATTATTTGTCATCAACACAAGATCTGTATTGAAAGACCTTTCATCTAGACTTCCTTAATGACTTAAATTAACCACTATTCCTCATCAGTAGTTATATATGTTATTTTGGTAGCCAATATATAAAGGCAACATACTTAAAAATTTTTTTTTCTTTATTGATTTGAGAGAGAGAGAAAGAGAGAAGGAGAGAGAGATAGGAACATTGATGAGAGAGAACATCGATTGGTCGCCTTCTGCATGCCCCCCTGCAGATCAGACCCACAGCCTGGGCATGTGCCTTAACCAGGATTCAAACTGGTGACCTCTTACTGCATGGGTCAATGCTGAACCACTGAGCCACACCACTGAGCATAAAGGCACCATACTTTTTAAATTAAATCTTCAATTACCACAATTCTATGAGCTATACCTATTACACACTATGTAATTTATTACATGAATTACTGATACCCTTTCTTTCCTTATTCCATTTAGTATTGATATAAAAGCAGTTCCCTTTCTCTGTTCCAGCGGATTTCAGAAGAAAACATAGATTAAATCAAAACAACTGTCCTTTTGCAAGATGCGTATCAGCAAGCAGAGAGAAAAAATGGCTTTTCTGGTTACTTCTGCTTGATAAAAGCTCTATAGCTGATATCATTCCCAGCTTCGAATGACAAATATAAAAACAGGACAGAGAAGGAAGTCAAGTGTTCCATCCCAGTACTTACGGTCTCTTTCATTGCTCTGTCCATACACTGTGTGCCTGAGGACACCTAGAATGTCCAGTGCCCCCAGTGTCTTCCACAGCCTATTCACTTTCATTGGTTCAAGTTACAGTCACTGCAAGGTGACTGAAAAGTATTACCTGTTTTGACCAATTTAAAATGGTCAGCATCATGCTTTATTTAGACAACTGTTCTAACAGTTACTTACTCTTTCTGCTTATGACTGAAATAACAGATTTTTCAGATATGAGACAACAAAACATGCAGTTCGGGAAATACACTGTGGTAGTGAATACAGGTTCTAGAATCACTCTTAGTTGTATAATCTCAGAAGAGTTAGTTAACCTCTATGCACAGAGGGGCTCGTGGATCCTGTCTGGGCGCCATGAAAACTACATGAAACCACAGCAGGTATATGTGGAGGAGGAGTACAAAGACAATCTTGTTAGTGACTAGTACTGTGTCTTATGAAGAGGAAGAAAAGCATTCCCTGGAAATATGTCTCATTAGTGTAATAGTAACAATTCCTGTGCATCCTCTAGATGTACATTAGTAGGAAACAGACCAAAGACTACTCACACCCTCCAACAGTGCCCTGAAATGGAGACCTATCCACTATTCATATTAAGGAAGAAAAAAACTGACTTACATTTGAAAATGGAAACAAAAAACCTCTATAGCTAAATTCACCTTAGACTTCTGCAACTATAGTCCTTTCCCTTCAGGATGTACTTTCTATGCAAACACATTTCCCAGACCACCTCCTGGGAAGGCAGGAAAGGCGTGTCCCCAAAATGGAGCAAGGGGTCTGGACTCCAGGAAGGCACCCAGGTTTGTTTCTATTACTCTAAAAACACATAAGGTTTCCGGGTGCAGAGGCATTGCTCTAAGCACCTCAGAGACGGTTCCCTGAATCCTCTTGGCAACCACAGGGACAGACTGTTGTGCTCAGGACAATGTCTCTCGCAAGCCAGTAGAGGCATGTGCACAGGGGGCTGCTGCTCAGACCCCTGTGCCAGCACATGCCATCGAGATGAGCATGACCACTGGTGGAAAGCCGCAGTGTGGCAGACAAGGGAACAGTGAGGCTCCAGCTCTGCTTTTCTATGAACATTTCATTTGTAGAAAGAAGTCTGTGCTGAAAGCTGAAAACTTATGGTTCTTCTAACCCAACACTGATTTTAGCCATGAGTCAAGGGGGTGCCAGGCAGACAAAGCAACCTGCTGAGCCCACCACTAAGCAGGTCTGCTTCCCACTCCAACGCCAGCCAGCTTCTAAGCAGGGGCCTCCTCACCAGCTCCGCCCTGCTACCCCTCCAAGGCTACTATTAACAGCCAACACTGGTGAAATGGGGATTTTGTTTCAATCTTTTTTCCCTTCCACCCATCTTCATATTTGCATCGAGATTAGAAAAAATAGGAAAATACTGTTACTTTTCCTTTCATTTCAGTGTCTCCCTTTTGCTACAGAGCAACATGGTCAAGGCTTCTTCCAGCCTGTGAGACGAGCACACCTCCTATTAAAGCACTGGATGGAGTTCCCCACAGAACAGAACACACAGGACCAAAGAGCCTTTGAGCTGGTACACATATGAACTGCATTTGTTAATTCCTGGTGCTTTAGGGGAAAAAGATAACAAGTATATTAAAGCCATGAGTTAATAAACATCTAGTTTAGGATGAGGCACATGAAATCTCTCTCAAACAAAATGCATTAATAACAGGCCCAAGAGCTCAGATCCATGATTGCCTGAAATTCTCTATCTGGAAATAAGTAAAAGTAGATAAAACATAATATACATTATATTCTTAAAGGCATTTATTTTAATCTAAGTAGCAAAATCTATTTTGCACGGACTGTTCTGGTCTTGCAAAGTCAATGTATAATTTGCTTTTATTCCCACTCTAAGTTTTTATCATCACCTTCCATTTTGCCAAGAAATGTGCCATTTACGGTGACAATATGATGCCGAGTGGATATCTATTGCATCAGTTATCAAATCGCTGGGCATGGCAGAGCCATGAGAGGAATGGGGAACACAATGAACATGAGAAGAACTTTATCAAACCTTAGGGACATAAGAACATACTCACCTTGACACTTTTACTTTCCAGGACATTTCTTGAACTGAATATCACAGATATTTACATTAGGTATTCACAGTTCATTTAAGTGGACACAGGTTTGCTTTAATCATCAATCATTACTGAAAGAAACTGTTTTCCCACAATAGCTCAGAGGCCTCTTACATTATTCAACCAGAATGGTGTGGTGACCAAGAGCATGAGCCCTTCACTAAGAATAATTTGGAAACACCTGCTATGAGAGGTTCAGGAGGCAAGGGTCAAGAAATCTGAGATGACGACTCGTACTATCAGAAATGATGTGTTAGAGCAGTTTCCATGGTGTAGTGGCAGTCACCAGTATTGGTGGATACTTGTGAACTCTATTAAATATAATATAGTACAGTAGTAGATAGTATTATTTAAGATAGTAGTATCTCTATTTTCTCCTTGGATATAATTATATGCAGAAAACAATTTGAGGGAGAAAAAGTGGCTTCTGTAGTCTGGTACCTACAGAATTGAGGATTTATAACATATGTGTCACTAAAAACACATGGCTATTTAATTATCTCTCAATGTGCATGTGTTTCTCTAAGTTACAAGCTCTTCATTCATCTGAAAATGTTAAAAAGCAGTGAGTCTGCCAGGCAGTGTGCTAGTCAGGCCCTCAAGCATGAACTATGGTTTCTGTACACAAGGAACTCCTGGTCCGGCAATGGATCCGAGACCCAGAGAGGAACCTGCAGGTCAGAGTGCAGCCCTTCCAAAGAAAGACTAGAAGAGGTTCATGATGCACCCGCCACAACTGACACCTCGCCCATCTGCCCAGCCCCCATCAAGCTGGAGGGGAATCATGGCCCAGAGGGCTTTTAAAAGCTGAAGGATGGACCTAGGTACACTTAGAACAGGCCAAGGATGAGGGGGTGGACAGGGAGATGATCCACTCCATGACTCAGCGTGCAGTGCAGTTATGTGAGGCTGGCTGCTGTGGGCCAAGACCTCCTCACTACAGGGGAAAGGGTCTCACATGGATGACCTCACACCCCACATAACCAAAAGCCACAACCTGCTATCTCAAAGCAAGTTTCAGAATTGCTTACTTGTGGGACGTCCTTTTCTTCATCATGCTTGCCGATACACCAGCATGGCCTAAAAGAGAAGTGAGTATAAGTCAATGAAAACTGGATAAAAAATAGTTCAAACTCAAGAGAAAAATTAACTTAGAAAGCTGTGTCATAAAGCATGAAATGAAAATAAACTGTAAATGACCAATGTATAAGAAAGCTATTCATTTACTGAACTTTCAAAACAGATATAAGGGTTCTGAGAAGATAAAATGATGAACAGTTCATCTCCCCAAATTAGCCATAAAAAACAAAACCAAAATCATGTGAACAAAAAATACAACCAAATAAAAGTGACAATCCTAGCTATAAAGTTCTAAAAGTCACAGAACTGTATCCCTGCACACAACAACTAAAAATCAGGACAGGAGATACGGGACGTCCAGACCCAGGCAGTGAAAGAAGGAGCTGCATGAGACCAGGGACCAGGAGCAGAAGTCCCGCCCTAACGCGGGCTGTGTTCCGAACAACTGTGGGTGATGCTGTACGAAACCCAGAAGAACACTGGTTTTGCAACGCTGAGAGTCAGACTGGAGCTGGGAAGAGTGAGGGGGCTGGGAGGTGTAGGCAGAGTGCTGGCAATGAGACCCCAGAGGGGGTTCCAAATATTGTGCGGGTGAGGGGCTTAAGATACTAACCTGCAAAGGCATGAAGGTTATTCAAAATCCATCTGCCCACCTCTCTGAACACATGGGGCAGTCAGTAAAAATCAATAAAAGTTATCCCTTAACAGGAAGTCTGCAGGCCCTAAGAAAAAGACTTGCTACAGACCCATCCTGGCGTCTGCTTCCAAAATAAGCTCCAACATTCACCAACAGTCATCAACAAAAACTGAATACTCCCACAACAAATTCAAAGGTGCAATGCCCCAGCAAAAATTGCTATACATACCAAAGAGTGGCAAACTGTAACCATTTAACCAAGCAGCTTAAGACCAAAAGTGTGTAATTAGTGGACAAAGAGGTGGAAAGAACTATAATAAATATGCTCAAATATCTAAAAAACACAAACACTTGCCCTGGCTGGTATGGGCCAGTTGGTTGGACATCCTCCCATGCACCAAAAGGTTGCCAGTTAGATTTCCCTGGCAGGGCACATGCCTGGGTTGTGGGCTCAATCCCTGGAAGGGGTCGTGCAGGAGGCAGTCGATTGTTGTTTCACTTTCACAGTGATGTTTCTCTCTCTCTCTCTCTCTCTTCCTTACTCTCTAAATATCAATAAAATATATTTTAAAAATTTTTAAGAAATGAGACACTTAAAATAGAAAAATGGTGAAAAAATGAAACTGGAGAAAAATACATGATCTGAAAAAAATTTTAAATTACTGAATATGGTTAATAGAAGATTAAACCCCAAGGATAAAAAGTATCCAAAATGGAACAATACCAACAAAATAAACTAGGAAAATGAACAGCCTCAGTGACCTGTTGGACAGGTAACATAAATGAACCTGGACCTCACAAAAGAGAGGGCAGAGGGCTGAAGGGAAAACACAAATCTGAACAAAACGAAGGGCAGAATCTTTCCAGAAGTAAGTACACAACCACACAGCTTGCAAAATCAACATAGACAGAGCAGGGTAAAAACCAGGGAAACCGTACCAAGGCACATCCTCACTAAATTTCAACAGCCAATGAATAAAAGACATTAAAATCAAGGAAACAGAAAGCACTCATTCCAGACTTGTCAGAAACCACATACGCCAGAGGACAGCACACTGATCTGTAGGTGCTGCTAAAAGAAATAGCCCCTCCCTGTGAACTCAGACACACCTCATGCAGACACCTTCCCACCCAGCACTGCCTGCAACACCTTAATGGACATAGTTGAAGTGCACCACGTAAGAGACCATATGAAGAGAGAGACAATTAATAACTTCAGACAAATTAACTTCAGGGAACATAAAGGTTGTTTCAAAATAACAGAACGGTCAATTATTCAAAAAGCCTTAACAATTTTAAATGACTTTGAACTTAATTACAAAATACTGAAATACATAAAGCAAAAACTGACAAAATTCACAAGAAAAACTGACATATCAATACTTTAGAGATTTGAAGTCTTTTCTCTCAGTAATTAATATAATGAGTGGAAAATCAGAAAGAATATAGACATGAACATCACCAACAGTCAACTTGCGTTACTTGACATTTAGAGTACTAATCCAATAATGTCAAAATACACATTTTATACCAAGTTCACATAGGAAGATTAACTCAGAGGAACCATATGCTACTCATAATGCCAACTCTCAATACATTTAAAACAACCTGAAATCGTATGAAGTTCTCTGACCAACAGGCTGAGAGGTCCCAGTTCAATTCCCAGTCAGGACACATGCCCAGGTTGCAGGCTCAATCCCCAGTAGGGGGCATGCAGGAAGCCAATCCATGTTGCTATCTCTTTCTCCCTTCCCCTCTCTCTCTAAAAAAATTAAAAATAACAATAAATAAAACATTAAAAATAAAAATACAATCTATCAAATCTGTGTGATACAGCCAAAGCAGTACTTACTACATAGATCATAATTCACACTAAGTAACAATACAAAGAAAATAAAGGACTTTTTATCATAAACTCAGAACAAAGGTTCCCCTGGGTGGAGAAGGAAGGCTTCTGAGTTATTTCTCTTCTTGGCCTTAGATGAAGGTGACCATTTTGTAAACAAAGATTTCTGTACTACTATTACATTTACAATTTTAAAAAGTTAACTGAAAAAGGAGCTATATGGCCAACGGGTCTGTGTAAGACTGTCTGTTTTATTTCACGGGTAAGATAGCAAGCTGAGGCCCTGATGCTCACCCACTTTCACCAGGCATGTCTTCATGCACTCAAAGAAGTGGGCAGCTCATGGGTGAGTATAAGACACAGACTGGACGGAGAGTAAATCTACCTGAAGCACTCCTGGAACATCTCTAGGTGTCAGTAGACAAGCATGAGGAGATAAGAAATGCAAAAGCAGACAGAAAATACAGTAGTCTATCAAATCCTACTGCCACTGCACCGGGCATCAGGATCCCCTCCCTTCCTCCCCACGCTGATCCCATGAGGAAAAGGCAGCTGACTTCAGGCATTTGGTGCGCCCCCAGCATAATAGACATGTCCTTGTCCCTACATCTGACAAAGCTTATCAGACCCATTCATCCCCACACATCCTCACAAAGTTGATTTCCCATTTAAAAGATTACCATGGCAGAAACAACTTTCTCTTGATCACTTAAAAAAAAGTAAGCCATTGGTAATTCATCCTTAATCCTTAGGTATGAATGGACAAACAACGATCTACAATCAAGTAACAAAACCTCAGTGGTAGAACTGAGAAAGAAGAAATAAGTAGCAACACTGCTCACACAATGGTCCAAGAACTACAAAGATTAAATAAAAGAATTGGTATTCTCAAGGAACTGAAGAAACTACAGTCATAAATGGGAACAAGAGGCTATGAAAAAGGAAAACAAAAGTTCTTGAAAATTAAAAAGAACAAACAGAACTTCTTGTTTTCAGTGTGGTATGTTAGGAGTTTGGAAGTCATTACTCTGTCCTAACAAGAGCTGAATAAGCTGAAAAATCAATAGCTCTTCTTAGGTTGGTCACAGAAGTGAGGTCACAAAGCAAAATGCTGACCCCACAACTAGAGAAACAGACATACAAATACACAGAATCACAACTAACCAGCAGACACCTCCAGAGAACCAGTGCTGGGGGAGGTCAGCCGGAACAGTAATTAACCAGCTGCTGGAGGCTCAGTGTAGTCAAGTCTGAGTTTTGTAAAAACAGCAGGGAACCAGTCATGGGAGAGATGGGCGGGGGCCTCCACATTTTTATGTGTTTTATCTCCAGGACTTTCCACCAGGTTCTCATGGTGAAGATCACTGAAAATCCCCTCCTGCTTCCAGCAAGGAGGGAGAAGTATACCAGAGCATTCTGTTCTTAACCAGGGCCTGCCCGCTAAGAAACTATTTTATAAGACCCTAACTGAGCTGAGGATAGGGAAATACCCAGATCTCTACAGCCCCAATGCAATCCTAGCTCAAATAAGGGGGAGGGGAGGATACAGAGAATGGCTTGTGAAAGTCACAACCCAGTGAGAGACTCACTGAAAGACAAAGACTTATTCACAGCACAGGAGAACCCCCCCTTCCCCCCCACAAACACACACCTCACCACCATCTCACTAAAGGCCTATTCACTGGAGTTCCTTTACCCAGTACATCATGTCTGGCTATCATCAAATAATTAATTATAAGACATATTAAAAGGCCAAAAAAGCACAGTTTGAAAAGAAAGAGCAGGTAACTGAACCAGACTTAGATATAGCAATGTTGGAATATCAGACAAGAAATGTAAAGTAACTATGAACAGCCCTGGATGGTTTGGCTCAGTGAGAGCATCGGCCCTCGGACCTAAGGGTCTCGGGTTTGATTCCTTGTCAAGGGCATGTACCTGGGTTGCAGGTTCTATCTCCAGCCCTGTTTGGGGTGATGCGGGAGGCAACCAATCAATGTGTCTCTCTCACATCAATGTTTCTCTCTCTCTCTCCCTGCCCCCAATGGTTTAAAAAGATCCTCTGGTGAGAATTAACAATAAAGTAACTATGAATAATATGGTAAGGGCTCTAATGAAAAAAGTAGACAGCACACAAAAACAGATGGATAATGTAAGCAGAGAGATAAAAAGTATACGAAAAATCAAAAGGACATGGTAGAGATCAAAAACATCTAACAGAAATGAAGAATGCCTTTGATGGACTCAGCAGACTTAACACTTCTGAAGAAATAATCTCTGAGCTTGAAAATATGTCAACAGAAACTTCCAATACTGAAAAGCAAACAAAAAAGACGCAGGCGGAAAGAAAACAAACAGAATAGCCAAGAACTTTAGGACAGAAATGAGGGTGTAACATATGCATAATAAAAATGCCAGAAAACCAAGAAAGGGACAGAAGAAATATTTGAAGCAATAATGACCGATGATGTCCCCAAGTTTACAGCAGACACTAAACCACACATCCAGGAAGCTTAGAGA